GGGGAAGGGAATTTATAGATAAAAAGTTGTTTAGTGAAAAAAACACACTTTTATTAATCAAAATGTGAAACAGAAGTTAGGACATTAAAATTTTGCCATGGGGACTTGTTTTAAACGTTTGATATGATACATTATTATTCCAAAACAAAATGTTTTGAGTACTATATTAAAATTGAATTGATATACACTTGACAAAAATAAACGAAAGAATAATTATATCCAGCTAGTAAAAAATAATGTTGGGAATATATATTAAAATCTCTAAGGATCTAGAGTCCTTTTCATATCTTTTGTGAAGAAAAATAGCCAAAATCTAGAAATCTTTTTTTAAACTCTTGTATGGAGGTAATTTTGGACTTCTTTTCAGTTTGGTGGAGACTTATTGATTTATTTATTTTTTATAGTTTCCTAGCCACAATTTCACCTTGTCCTCAAAATTGACTGGATATAGTTCCTACAAGAACATGCACAGAGATACCAATATTGGGATGCCTATAATTTTTAATATTAATCCCAAAATGGCTGAATAATGGATATTAAATATTAGGTCAATACAATAATTCTATATGGGGCCAATATCGGAAAATATCAGCCAATTTTACCCTTACGGAGTCAAGATTAATAAATATTCGTCCAAAGAGAGTCCAAGTTATTTTGCTGCTAGTGTTCATTTAGAGCTACAAATTAACCAGAATTCCATTGAGGAAGAGAAGCTGTTTGTAGAAAAATGTATAATAAAGGATTATACGAAAGATATTATGGCAATAATTTTTGTTTGTTATTGTTGCTTCCTATTTTTGGGATATTTTTATGTTTGATTAAAAGTATAAAAGTACTACTACATTTTAATGCTGATATTCCATAATTAAATAGTGTTGCACTTTTTACTTAGTAATTTGCTGTTTTTATAACTAATGTAAGAATTTGAAAAGGATTCAAGGATCTTAGATAAAGTTTTGTAAAATTTTAGTTTTCTCAAATGTACATTTTCCCGCATTTATGTCTCCGCAAAACGAACAAATTAAAAAAATATGCATATTACATTAAAAAAATATGCATATTATTAATTAAGCACAAAACCTGAATTTAGCCTGATTTTTGAGTGACAATTTAAATAATTTTCTCTCAATTACTATATGACTAAATCTACATTTTTTTCTCAAAACTACACAAGAATAAACAGGTTAACTATCCCTTTGCTGTATAACTTCTTTTAATTGCATCTCAGTAAGTAAAACGTTATTAAATATACAAATGAAAAAATGCTGCAGTGTGAAAAGGTTGGTTATTTATGTTCACTTGGAGCAATATAATTATATTTCCTGAATTCTTTTATACGAATCCAATGAAAAATTACTTAATTTAAAATTACAATTAAAAATACAGTTATTAAGTATTTATCGTAGACAGTTATTAGGTATTTATCGTACACATTGTGAAGCTTGTATTTCACTTTTGTTTTAAAATGTTGCAAATTTACTAAAACAGTTGTCCCTTTGGCATTGTAAACTACATCATGCAGCTATGTATAAGTTTAAGAATTTAATCATAAAAGTTTAACAAAGAAAAATGTATTGTATTTTATTCATTAAATTATTTAGAAATGGTATTTTTCCAATAATTTATACTGAAATTTTCTGGAAAATATGATTAATTTATTTAAGAAAAATCTTTCGCGAATTATTTGTAAGGAAAAAAAATCAGAAAATAGTTTTAGTAAATATCACACTTTGGGTATTTTTGATTGCTTTTATACGCAGTTTAAAATCCTTTCATTGTTTAATAACAGCCTAAATTTTAGCTCAAGATATTTGATGAGTACTGAATAGTTTCAAAAATATATATTTAAAGGATGATACCATAGAATTATCACTACAAATGTATCACTTTTTAATGTTTACAAAGCAAGAGGAAAAAAAACGCTCTGAATCTTTAACATTAAAAATATTCTTCCTAAAATTTTTTATCAAGTGATATAACATAGATAAAAAGAATCAGTGATTTCATCATAAATTGTTCCAAATGCATGGAATTCTTATTTTTCCGCTTTCAAACTTTAAACTGAAGCTGACTATGATGAATGGGAAACTTAAATAGACTGCCATACTACCAGAATTGTATTTCCGACCAACAATACTCGATTAAAGCGTTCCATTTGACAAGGGGGGAGGGAGGAGGTTGAAGAGAATGGAATTCGAAATGTTCCAAGGCCACCCAAACAAAGGGCCATGTTAGTGTCAGCAAGTCCATCAAGAATTCCTTTTCAAAATCAATGGACTGTCTACCAGTTTCTGTATATCACAGACAATATATGGAATAGCGTTACTGCATAAAATGGAAATCTCCAGCATTTTATAGCAGGAAAATCTAAAGCAAAAATAAGAGTCTGGGAAAAAAGTTTTTAAAGCGTTCGTAAATGAAATTCAAGTGGAATTGATCTTGTCACTGTCCATCAAGATCACGGTCTTCTAGGAGGGTGTCTATTTTTGCAATGTAGTGATTTTGTTATTTTTCGGATTTGAATACATTTCATTCCTATCGAGTTTTGCTTAGAAAACAGGTTTCTGATATGCACATACCAAATGTTTGAAAACATTTTTACTGAATACATAAATATTTTGAATTTCTTATTAGTGTTGTTTTTTTAAATATTTATCAGAATGAGGAGATATTTGTATCCCATATAGACAAATAGTTTGTTTCAGCAAATTTATAATTTTTTTAGTATTAAGATCAGATCTACATAGCAAAAAAAAATTTTAAAGATCTAATCACTCGTGTGTACTGCGAATTACGTAAATCAATAGCAAAATAAAATTAAAAATAAATTTAAATTCAGCTAGAACGATTAATTTTTTTTAATCAAATTTATAATTTCTATTATTAGGATATCAGTCCACGTTAAGAATAAGATAATACTGGAGTAATTTTTTTTTTGTTGCATGATAATTTTTAACAGATCTTAAGTACTCTCGAACTCCTGGTTTCAAATCTCCAAGATACAGACTTTTTAATGACATTTTTGGTCTGTTTTTATCTGTCTAAATGAACACATTATAAAAACTAAATATTACAGAAAGATGCATAATTGTTGCAAAAAAGAATTGTTACGGCACATCGGCATAATTGTAAATCCAGCTTGAACAGCAGTTTCTTTTTTCAAATTTGTTATTTTTACTATTTTTAAAACAGTTCTAAGTTAAGAATAAGATAATACTGGGTAACATTTTTTGTTGCATGAGAATTTTTAACTCGTCTTAAGAATTCTCTTATCCCTGGTTTCAAATCTCCAAGATGCAGATTTTTTATGACATTTTTAGTTTTTTTTTCTTTCTAAATGTACGTGTTAAAAAATTACATAGGAAAACGCATAAATGTTGGAAAAAAGAGTTACGGCACATCATAAGGTTCAAAAGTGCATAGAAACTCTCTCTTGGAAACGTCACCATACGCTGTTAGGGGCTCGTCCTTAATAGGAACTGTTTCTTCATGTGCTTCTGAACAGATCATAATAGAGAAAGTGCTCCTAGCCATGTACGGCGTCATTTCTGGCCATGCGTTTCTAAGTAATTAAGATGATGTGCGTTAACTCCTCTAGAAATTTGTCGCAACACATTTGTGATCCCTTGTTATATAAGCGTTTTTAAACTTAAACATTTCTGTAAACATAGATTAAAAATGTTATGTCATTTAAAAAAAACTGTAAATATTAAGAGCAAAATTTATTTTAGATTTGTTATCCCCACAACAAAGTTAAATAGGATCAAATATTTGTAAAAATGCAACAAAAACTCAGTCCAGTGTAACCGATGTCTAATCACTAGGACAAATAAATGTACAAACAATAGAGATCACAAATTAATTAGAATTATTTCTATAACTGTTATTTTTTTCCCGTGCAAGCTAATAAGATTTATTTATGGCCCACATTCTGTTACATGAACGTACATACTTCTTAACATTACATTGAAATAAAGCAAGGTTATTTTTCAGTATGCTTGTTGTCTACTAAAATTCAAATCTGTCGATGATTAAAATGCTTAGGCTTTGTATACAATGCTGATAATTCACCGGTAAAGGTTTAAAATAATTAAATATTTTTGAACATTACGCAGAAATTGTATATAATGCTAAATGCGCAATCGGCAAATCATGAAATGTCATTATTTTTTTATTTTAAATAGTATGATTAGGATTCATTAGAATGACTTACAGTAATTTTTGATACAAAAAGTAGGCTCACTTTTCTTTCTTTTCTGCAAAACGTATATAATTTTAGTAATTACCTTGCGATAATTAGCAGGTTGACCAAGATAATATCCCGGCAGGTACGTATGGGGCATTGCCTAGTACACACTAGACCAGTATTTATAAAATTTATGTATTTTTTTAAATGAAAAAACGCTATTGTTCATTATATTTTTACCTGGAGTTGAGAATCGATTTAATAGTTTTTAATCGTACTCGTTATGAATATTTGTTTATAAAAATAGTTGAATCTGGCTATTGTAACTAATGTACGAAAAATAAAGAAAGGTTGTTTTGCTTTATAATTGAGAATTAAGCATTTCTTTGCGTGGATTTATTTATTAATTTCGCCTTCATTGCTTATAATTTATGCCACGTTCGCGAAACGAAACATGATATTCACTACACTCTTTTAAGAATAAGGTCTTTCGATTCAAAAAAATGTTATGTTTTTCAGTCTTCAAGAATTAAATATCTTTTTGTTTTTAAAAGAAAGCAACGAAATTATTTTGTGCTGTCTATCCTTGCTTTGCGTCGCCTGTGATATTGCCTTGCTTAGCCTAAATAATATTTGGGTAAAGTAAATATGAATTCGATCACTTCTGTCATTGCTTAATGGCAATGCCGTATTTAGGCAATGAGAGAATAAGTCGCGCAGTGTGGGAAATTTATATATTGCAGGTAATATGTTCAGAAATAAAAAAATCATTTTAAGCATTTAATGAGATGTTGATGAAATAAATGAAAATTACCTTGATTGACGAGGTTCACTGGACAGGGTATCCTGAGTTCTGGAGACTGTGATTCCCTTTGCTGGGGGATTTTTACTTCCCCTAGACTAGGGTTACGTTTATACCCGAGACTCGCCATAGCAAAAATGGTTTACTTCCTCTGAGAATGAACAACGCTCATTTCCCTTTGGCCGCATTTGAAATGAAATTCTGAAAAATAATGAAATTTTTTTTTAATGTATCAGAATTATCATAAAAGTGTGAATTTTAGAAAATTTTATGACAAATTATGTGGAAAATATGCGTTCAGAAATGTTAGTTCAATGTTGAGATATTTTCTGAAACCTTCAATAGCGTATTGAATTGTTCCATGCTGTGATGCCATAGGCATTGAAATTTTCCTAACTTTTAAAATTTCAAGTTCATTTTTTAAACATTCTTAATCCCGTTATGATTAAACTAACTCAATTATTTGATTTTAATCCCATTTTATGAAAAGCGAATATAAATACTTTTATTCTTTTCTTAACATTCAATGTAACTGCAAACTTTTTAATTCAATACAAGTTTATAACTCATTAATTCACAGTCGCAACTAAATCGGATATCAAAATATTTTTTTAACTCTATTTTTCCTTAAGATACTTTATTTCTTTAACCACAAAAATGTTTTGGTTACATTAAATTCTAATTCCCTGGATGCCCCGAATAGGGGGCGGGACAGGGTTAAAGCTGAACTATTAAATTCTAACTATCTTTTTGGTGGTTAAGTTTGTAAGGTTCGCATAAGTTAATTTTATCACAGTGGAGAAAAGTTTAATATTTATGTTAAAAAAAGTGGCAACAGGTTTGATGTAAAAATAAAACGCTTCGCTTTAAAATATTTATCCCTGCTTATAATTGTTTATTAAAATACGTTTTTAAACTATCTCGCTTCTTAACTATATTTCCTTTAAACTGAATTATTTGCTTTTCAACCTTACTTTATATGTTGTAGGTAGATTATTTAATACCTAGATATCAATAAATAGTTGAGGCAATGTGATTTTAAATATGGCCCTTTATATTCTCGAAATTCAACATCTACAAGTTTTCCTAAAACATCTTTTATTAGAACGCTAATACCTATAAATCAATGATTATTTGAGACTATGTGATTTTAATATAGCACTTTAAATTTCTAAAAAATTCATAACCTACATGTTTCCCAAAAACATCTCTTACAAGATTGCTTGTACCCATAAATCAATAAATATTTGAGACTATGTGATTTTAATATAGCGCTTTGAATTCCTGAAAAATTCATCACCTACATGTTTCCCTAAAACATCTCTTACAAAAACGCTAGTACCTTTAAATCAATAAATATTTGAGACTATGTAATTTTAATATAGCAATTTAAATTCCTTAAAAATTCGTTACCTACATGTTTCCCACAAACCTCTCTTACAAGAGCACTAGTACCCATAAATCAGTAAATGTTTCAGATTTTGTGATTTTAATATAGCAATTTAAATTCCTGAAAAATTCATTGCCTTCATGTTTCCCACAAACCTCTCTTACAAGAACACTAGTACCCATAAATCAATAAATGTTCAGATAGGTGATTTCAACAATAACCCTTTAAATTTCTGGAAAATTCAATATCTACATGTTCCCCTAAAACTGCGCTCACAAGATTGCTCGTATCCCCAGACTCAGGAAAAATTCTCGTAATAAACAAGAACAGTGTTAGTGCAGTCCCAAAGCCTTATTTATTAAACTGCCGTTTTCTCGCTTACGGTCTAAAAGCCTCACCACCATTTACGTTGTCCGACTTCAGGCGTAGATTTTTGCAAGTCAGTAAACATATAAATGAAACAGGGAAAAAGGAAAACAGGAAAAAAATACGTATAAGCGTTGTTTTCTGTTGCAGTAAGAATTGGAGTGATATAGAGAAGGGAGTTACTCTAAAAATTAAATTACTGGGCACCGAAGCTCTTAAATAATTTGTTCGATAAGGTTGTTTGAGTAAATTATTCAGTGTTCAGTGTCATGTAAAGCGTATAACAAACTGTTATATTTCCCCCGACGCTAAAATATTTTATGTATGGGTATTTCAGTACAAGCTAAGGCAAGATGAACGGCTTTGCGTTTGTCTTTATTTATGCTTCCAGAAAGTAAAATCATGTTTTACTTCGAGCGAGTTGCTTAAAATATGAAAATGAATAATGGAGCTTTATTTTGATTAATGTTTTTGTATATTTTAACATTTCACGTAGCAAACGAGACAAACAATTCTTCACGTTATGCTTCATGAGATATTTTAAGTTGGCCATAAAATTTACATAATTTCTTATTTTTAAAGTTTGTTTGTGCATTTTGATTTTTAATATTTGGTTCAGAATGATGCAAACAGAATTGGGCGATAGTGTTTGCTATAATCGTAACTTCCCTAATAAAATGTTTTTTTTCGAGGAATACTTAAATACGTTTTGGAATACTTCTAGTCTAAATGATTGAAAGATATACCTGGTGTTTCAAAAACAACAGGTAGTTTGAAAAATAAGTTAAAAAGAAACTGTAAAGGACAGAAATGTACTCTTTGCTGCGTTTTGGTTTGATACATGGATATTTTTTACGAAGTTTTTAAATTAATTACGAATTTCTTTATCAGATTCCAGAACAAAATATGAAATAATGCTTTCTACTAAATTTTAAACTATTCAATATGAAATACATAAAATTAATTGTATAGATGTCTGTTAATTTGATCCTCAAACTTCGCAATATTGTAGTCACAAATGGAGGTTATTTTGAAAAGTATTGTTTCATATTTTTATAATTTTCAGCATTTAAAAGAAATTCTTTACATTTCTGCAACTGGATTGCAACAAAAAACAATAAATAATTAGAATAACTTTTTTCTCAAGGGCATTTCCCAAAACGTAAGTTTTTCTATATTTAGAAACGAAATAGAATGGCACTTCTTATAATGTTATATCAATTAAAGGCTGAACATTTTTGACTCTGTAACAGTGTCTGTCATATCAGTTTTCGTCATGTCTTTGCAATGAACTTTATCTTTAACCTCGTTGTCCAGTTCAGCAATCATTCTTTCTGCCTATGGAACAAGTGATAGAAACTGGGTGTCACGCATTAGGGGAAGATGGTTGATGACGTTTACTCGAAACTATTTTTAACGTAATATTCAAATTTGGGGAAAAAAATCTATTATTTAATTTTAAACTAATCGGAACACGACTTTCAATGCTTTCTCAAGGACATAACGTGGAGATGGTTTGATGCCTGTATGCATAAACTGACACTACTTCTAAGGAAAACCAATGAGTAATGCTACTGTTATGCTGGACGATAAAGAAATTTTAATGTTTTCAAATGATACAATATTACTGAAAATAAGTGTATTTTGGGGATATAATAAAGTAAGAAGTATTGCCTTTTAGATGGTTTTCATTTTTTTTAGATTTCGAGGAGTAACAATAAAAAACAATGTTTTATTAAGAAAGGGTTTGTGAGTTTTTAAACTATGAAACTTTTGCGTATATTTAATGTGCACTGAGAAAAAAACAGTATGGTCAAAACTACCAGAATATGACAAAATTTATCGTGATTCTGACTCTATGGGAGAACCAAAATGCATGGTAATTTTTACCGAATAGTTTCGGTTATGATTTTGGAGAAACTAACAATAAAATATTGTATATTGTTTATTATTTAAGAATTTTGGTCATCCACAGACCGATAACACGCTTAACCCATATCACGTTAGTGATATATGTGAAAGATATTTTTAAGGTTTTATTAGAAAGATTTTAAACGCGTTATGGTTCTCTGTAAAGTTAATTCTATTTGATCTTTATAGCACATGTGCAAACATTTTCCTAAAAATCACTTTACCACATTTAAAAAAATATGGTCAAAACTACCGGAATATGGTACAATTTACAGTGTTTCTGGTTCTGTGGGAACAAAAAAAAGGCTCGGTAACTTTTACTGAAGCACTTTGGTAAAAATTTGGTAAAATTTAAAAAAAAACATGTGATTTTATAGTATGTAAAAATTGGTAAATGTGGTAAAAATTTGAGAATTTTTTTTCTGATACCTTAAAGGATGACATAAAAACTACTTATTCGGTTAAATTTACTTCTTAGTTTTTACTAAATTATGAGGCAATAAGAACTATAATTTTGGAAAACAGAATTTCCGGCAAACCGTACCCATATGAACGGAAAATTGCCCAATGAATAGTTTAAATACCACACAAATTTTGTAAGATTTTTTTCTCTGTGTGTATATTTTTATTTTCATCATAATTTCCTTTGTTTATTATTGTTATTTTTTTCAATTTGAAAAAAAAAATCATTGATATTTCACGTTATTTCCTTTAAGTTTAAGCGAAATGGAAAATAAATCGGACACCATAATTTTTAGATTTCAGTTTTGCAGTGATGCTCACTATTTTTTGATTTTTTGCAACTACAATAACGTAAAAATAATTAAAATATACTCTATATTCTATGCTTCAGAAGCACCATGACAGTGTGAGCAGTATTAATTCTGAAAGAAATAAGACAGACTGATTTGTTGCTTTTAAAATATTTTTCACAGTAATTAAAAAATATCCAAATTAATTGCTTAACGTAATTAAAGTGAAAGTTTTAAACGCTTCGTTGTTTTATAATTGAAAAATGTTTCATAAAAAACTAGTAATTTGATAAAGTCCGTCTCGGTTGGCAAATTAAAAGTGCTTCTCCTTTTTTCACCTTTTTATCAAATATTGACATATGTATTTGAAAGGAATTTTCAAGTTATTAAAAAACTAGCTTGATGAAAAGAGAATGATAATTATTTCATAATTTTTTGTTATAATATTTGATGTAAACTTGGTGCATTTAATTCAGATTCGTGTGATTTAATTAGCTTTTACACAAACGAAGAAAAAGAAAAAAGCTAAAGATATTAAAAAAATTGAAATCAATTATTTTGCAAATAATAATATTTTAAGAAAAAAACTAAAATTTTATCTTTAAATTTTTTACTAACGCTGAATTTATAATGGCGATAAGACCTTTTATAGGGCTGGACAAGTAAAAAAACTTATTACATATTTTGAAGGTTTGTTTGTTTTTATGAAAAAAAAAATTATGTTTGTTCAATACATTTTTTATAATTCATTATAATTGATATTTGAAA